AACCGCTGACCTGCTGATCTAGCAGTAGCCTGCAGTGCTGCATTTAACCACTGCGCCACCTTGGCTCTTCACTTTCAATTTCTCCTGATCATCAGCTGTTTCAGGCTGCAGGGATTGCTATAGTCTATTGAAGCCTCTGCAAGCCCCCATTTGCTGCAAAGAGGTAAATTGCTGGGAGGCAGAGGCCAAAGGGTTGGGGCCGGTGGGTGGTTGGGCTACATTCAGTGTATAAGATGCACCCACATTTTCACCCTCTTTTAGGGGAGGAGGTGCGTCTTATACTCTGAAAAATACGGTAAATCATTCCATCTTCCACCATTCGGTGAGAACTGAAGACGCCTCTTGGATGAGAAGCTGTTAAAATTGGTATGGCTTTTTGGAAATATTCTCTGCTATTTAAAAGAAGATAGAATAGCACTGGGCCTCTCTAGATCAAGCACATTTTAAAAAACTTCTTCATTTTATTAAGCTGTCTAGAACAATAATAAAGCAGTCCTTAAAAAATAAGTCCAATAATTTGAACATTCTATAGGCATTTATATAGTTAATGACTTACCTCCTTGCAGCAAACAGCCTGATTAGCACAAGAAAAAAATATCTGCCTCCAGGCAATTTGCCTCCTGCAGCAAATAGCAAGTTTCACTTTCAGTTTCAGCAAGGGCTTCCTGATCATCAGCTATTTCAGGCTGCAGAGCCTATTGCAGCCTCAGCAAGCCCCATTTTCCCATTTGCTGCAAGGAGGTAAATTGCTGAAGGCAGAGGCAAAGGGTGGGGGGGCGGTGGGTGGATGGGACTACATTTGGTATATAAAACGCACCCAAATTTTCACCCTCTTTTAGGAGAGAAAAAAAGTGTGTCTTATACTCTGAAAAGTACGGTATTTTTGCTTTCCTTTCCCACTGTCATTCTACCTCTATTTGCAGGTCTTTCTATTTTGCGATTCCCCCCTACCTCTCCCAAGTTTTTCCCCTTCTATTCTGCTGTCTCCAGAAAGATGAAAATGTCCTTCTGGGTTCGGCTCCAAGTGGGGAAAAAGACANTTTCTTTTCAATAAACCTAATTCCCTTGCATTCTTGATTGTCTGTTTAATAACAATATATCTTTATATAATCACTTATCCCATTCCAAATATTTTTGATTTTTTTTTTTACCAACTATTTATATTTGTATATCACTGTTTTCAATTATGTGTAATCCCACCAATCATCTATCGAGTATGTGTATGTTCATTATTGTCTTTGTACATCATACATTCAAACAAAGATGTTATTCCTTCATCTCAACAAGGTATTCTAAATAGTCACTTTATATATATATACCAATTTTTAATTACTTCCTTATTAAAATTATTTATCAACAACAAGATATCTTTATGATATATACTTAGAGTTATACACTCATTTTGGAAAAGAGGCACAGATCAGCAATGCCTAAATACAATATTTGATCCCAGTGAGATGTCACCTTCATGGCCTCTTAGGCCAAAGATCTTGAAGAATTGCTGAAAATTGGGATTGATTGGGTGATCCTCAAATGAGTTTTACTGAATGGATCACAATGGGTTTTGTGTGCGCAGCACCATAAACCATGGTTTATGTGGCCTAATGGCTGGATTTTCTGCTTGTATGAAGCCAGTTCCAAACAAACCACATTATAGGTGTCCACAATTGCCAGAAATGGTTGTATTTCCTTTTTGGTTTTATTCAACTGAACAGAAGTGTGTATGTTATTTATTAGAACAGTCAAATTAAAAATGTCTGTACTGGGAAAACAAAATTCAAAGTGGCATCTTTCACTCAATACGAGAAACTTGAAAAGGGGAAAAAAGCTATTGAATAAACCATAGATAGAAATGTTAGAAGAAGAAGAAAGAAAGAAGCATTATTGCTTGGAGCTAAATGGAGCTACCATGGAAAGCTTACAAAATCTGGAAATATTTCATGCAATCCTCCTGGGATTTATTTATTTTCTTTCTTTCTTTAGGACAGCCTGGTAAACCTTGACAAAGAAAGAAAGAAGGAGGGATGTGATAGTCAGGAGGTGAAAGACAGCGAGAAAAAGATAACAGAGGATAACAAAAATGAGGACTCCACATCGACCAAAGATGATTTACAGGTAGGAACCACATTCCCATTTCCCTTCTGCTTGTGTACACCCCCTCCCTCCCTCCCTCCCTCCCTCCCTCTCTCTCTCTCTCTCTCTCTCTCTCATCCTGCACTGTTGTGTGATCCATTTTAAGAAGCGATGAGTGCAAAAGTTCCAGAGAGAACATTCATAAGAGTTGTCTTAGGGGCCTCTGGAATGGGACAATTGGGTGCGGTCAACACGCCCCGGGACCATTTTAACAATTCGATTTAAGCATTTAAACTAATTTAAAAAATTTTTTGAATTTTTGTCGCTCCCATTTCATTCTGTCCCTTCTTTGGCATCTTTACTTTAATGATTCTGTTCCACCATTTCTCTGATGTGGGTGTTATTCTTGCCCCGCAGCAAGTTGTCCCCAGCGAATTGGCCATGCTGAGTTATCCTAAACCTGCTTCTGGAGGCTCCAGCTGCATTTTTCAAATTCCTTGGCACATGCCAGAGTGATGGAACAGCTCCCTGTATGAAGCTGGCAAAGCATGGTACAAAACTAAGTAAAGATGTGTGGTGTTGAAGCTCCCCTCCCCTTGCAGAAAAATAATTACTGAGTGCTTTTTTTTTCATGTACTCTACAGCAGGGGTGCTAAACTCAAGGCCCGCAGGCTGGATCTGGCTAGTGAGGTGCTTAGATCTGGCCCAGGAGGCCGCCCTGAAAACAGTGGACCGGACCGGCGTGCCTCTGCCAGCGAAAACGAAACTCAGGAGGGCTGGGCATGTTCCCCGGGCTCTGTTTTCGGCCATGGTGGCCTCCTGCAGCTCTCTGCCAGTGAAAAATGGAGCTGGCAGAGGGCTACAGGTGGTCATAGCAACTAAAAATGTGGCCCGGGAGAGGCGCACATGGGCTCCCTGGCTCCCTTTTCGCTAGCAGAGGGCTAGCAAAACAAACTAAAAGCAAAACAAAAGGAGAAATGTTGCCCCTTTTGCCTTTGAGCATCCAAGAAGGGGCAGGAAAGGAGAAAGGGAAAGATGAAAAACAAAAGAAAAAGATGGGAAGAGAGCAAGGAAGGAAGAAGAAGGAAAGAGGAGAACAAAGGAGAATGAAGAGGGAAGGGGAAAAAAAGAAAAGGAAGACCCCCCCCCCCAGCCACCACAGATGCCCCCCGACATGAATGATGTCGAGCTGACATTATTTCATAAACGGCACCTTGCAAGAAATCTGGGAAACAAGCATTTTGAAT